TTTGTCGAATTTCAAGTGCTTTTTCGTTATATAAAAGTGCTTTCGAGCACTCTTCCATCTTTGTATACACGAAACCGATGTTGTTGTATGACTGTGCCAAATGTAGATGATTTGAAGCAAGAGTTTTTTGATAGATTTCAAGTGCTTCTTCGTAAAATGAAAGTGCTTTCGAGTACTCTCCAATCGTTGTATAAACATTACCCATGTTGTTGTATGAATTAGCCAAATCAGGATGATTTGAAGGAAGACTTTTTTGTCGAATTTCAAGTGCTTTTTCGTGAGATGAAAGTGCTTTCGAGAACTCTCCCATCGTTATATACACATTACCCATGTTGTTGTATGAATTAGCCAAATCAGGATGATTTAAAGACAAAGTTTTTTGTCGAATCCCAAGTCCTTTTTTCAAATATGAAAGTGCTCTCAAATACTCTCCCATCGTTGTATACACATTACCGATGTTGTTGTATGATGTAGCCAATGACGGATGATTTGAAGGAAGACTTTTTTGATAGATTGCAAGTCCTTGTTCGTAAAGAGAAAGTGCTTTCGAGTACTCCCCCGTACTGTGATATAAAGCAGCGATATTATTGTATGAAGTAGCCAATAAACAATGATTTGAAGGAAGAGTTTTTTGTCGAATTTCAAGTGCTTTTTCGTGAGATGAAATTGCTTTCGAGTACTCTCCCATCGTTATATACACATTACCAATATTGTTGTATGATGTAGCTAAATCAGGATGATCTGAAGGAAGAGTTTTTTGATACATTTCAAACCCTTGTGTGAAATAGGAAAGTGCTTTCGAGTACTCTCCCATCGCTATATACAGATTACCGATGTTGTTGTATGCAGTAGCCAATGACGGATGATTTGAAGGAAGATTTTTTTGTTCAATTTCAAGATCTTTTTCGAAAAATGAAAGTGCTTTCGAGTACTCTCCCATCTTGCTGTACACCAAGCCGATGTTGTTGTATGAAATAACCAATGAAGGATGATCTGAAGGAAGACTTTTTTGTCGAATTTCAAGTGCTTTTTCGTGAGATGAAAGTGCTTTCGAGTACTTTCCCAGATCGTCACACACCAAGCCGATGTTGTTGTATGAATTAGCCAAATCAGGATGATTTGAAAGAAGAGTTTTTTGAAAGATTATAAGTCCTTGTTCGTAAAAAGAAAGTGCTTTCGAGTACTCTCCCATCTTGTAATACACACCACCGATGTTGTTGTATGAAGTAGCCAAATCAGGATGATTTGAAGGAAGACTTTTTTGTCGAATTTCAAGTGCTTTTTCGAAAAATGAAAGTGCTTTCAAGTACTCTCCCATCTTTGCGTACACACCACCGATGTTGTTGTATGAAGCAGCCATATGAAAATGATTTAAAGGAAGAGTTTTTTGATAGATTTCAAGTCCTTGTTCGAAATGCCAAATAGCTTTTTCGTAGTCACCTTGCTTCGAATGGACAAATCCCAGTTGATGATAATAAATTGCTTTTTCACCCTGATCAGATGTCTGTTCCAATAATATGGTGTAAAGTTCTTCCGCTTTATTGAATTGACCAATTCTAAGCAATAAGTTACTCAATCTCTCCCACCCACTGTTGCCAACAGCTTCTTCTCGTATTCGATCAGTAAGTAATCGTAATTGTTGATCATCATCCGATGTTAATTGTAATTCAACTAGGTAAAGTTGATTCTTATTATCCATTTGTTTAATTACACACACTCGAAAGACAGTGTGCATTGAGAAGAGAATTTCATCTTCTTCATTGAAATAACTCTCCTTTTTGATGGAGGCAAATGGTGTTGATTTAATAGAAGGATCAATTGACATTATGAAAAGAATACCCACCGTATCCGGTTTTGTTGAAGCACATCGAGCAAAATCGATGGATACTTCTTTATCTTTGCTGGTGGACAAGAAATTGTTGAATGACACTAGTCCACCTTTCGTTCTCTGAAGTTTTTCGAAGTCTGTTTCAGTAAGACCTTGCCCTCGATAAACTACAAAAGACTTTCCACCATGAGCGCTAAATTGTTGCTCGTACAGTTGTTTAATTTGTTCATGCACATCACGTAGAAAAAATCCCATAGTAATAATTATATCGGCGTTCATTGTTCGAAGACCATAATTGAGCATAGAACAGATATTGGAAGGGAAAGTATACCACCAAATAGCTAATTGAGAAATGTATTCTTTCTCAAATCGGTCAATATATTTTGTTGACACGCAGTCATGATCTCGACAGTAAGTAATAAAGTCTTTGATAGCCTGTTCATCATGTTTCATATCAAGAAGGATTTCCTTGAATATTTGTGTGTACATAAATATTGGTTCCAACTGATTTAAATTATCAGTTGAGGCCGTATCATTTACTGTGATAAAACTAATGGCTATCGAGTCTCGATGATATTGTTTGAGACCCAGTTGTAATCCTTGGCATAAGTCATCGATGTTGGTATGAACGCTTTTGATTTTTTGCCATTTTTTAATCAATTTTTCAGGTAGGCTTTTAGTATCATTGAAAAGATAAACACTATCCAGCTGAGAAATATCATTGATCAGGGGCATGATTTGTTGAGCCATACTATTTTCTACAATGAGAAAAAACTCGATATCTTGAGCATCACTAAGGAAGTCAATACATTCATCTCGTTGCTTAAAGACGTTCACATTGTCGACGGTGGTTCGTATTCGTATCAAACTATTTTCGTAATCTTTGTTTGTTTGATCCATGCACTCGTCTAACCAGAGGATTAAATAGTTTTGAACCATTCGTCGTCTTGGTTGAATAACATCCAATGATGTTACTGTTGCACTACTGTCATTGATGAACAGATTTGATGGTAAAGAAGCTTTTTGATTAGATCCTGATTCACTCATTTTGTTTTTATGACAATTTGATGTTGAATATAAGCTTGCCAATAATTATTGTTGTCTGAGTAGTAAGAAAATTTACCGCTCTTATTTATAATGGCAATGGCGTGTTCTTTTTGTTTTCTTTTTTAGTATGCAAAATGTATGTAGTTTTTGTCAAGATTCGAAGAGCAACTTCAACTAGTTACCTTTTAAAATACTCTTGTGAAGAGTAAGACACAGAACAAGGCAAATAACTTTCTTAACAACGTTCGCAATAAAACAAAGAAATCAGAAACCAACGAAATAATTTCGTTTATAGTTATTATTGCCACCTTTCTTTTGTCTTCATCTGCGCAATTACTCGAGTATGCCAATGCGTGTGCGGCACTTTGTTGTTTAAAGAATAATTGAAACAAAACGGCAGATTTGATGTGTACGTAGAGAAAGTAAAGAAGAACAATATAAATATTGTGCTTCACATCGCATTAAGAAAGCTGTCTCTTACCAAAATCTCTTCGATCCTAAATTACCTTTCAGTTACAAACGATAATATATTTTTAATGACAAAATCATTGCGTTTAATACTAAAGTATTTTAGAAGCAATACTCTATTGATGTATATATAAGAAATGAAAAATGATAATATATACTAATAGATGACACTATTGATTGTACAGGATCACTGCAAATGTTAAGAGCAATATATATTCGATTTTTTCTGGACAATATTAAATATCCAAGCCAAGTTCTCTATCTATTCAATTGTATAGACAAAATATGAGAGAAAGTTTTGGTGCTACAATGCGCTTTAGATGACATACCATTAAAAAGTATTCAAACTGTATTTAAATTGAAATCCTGTCACGACCGTTACAAGCGTCTCTCAAGAACTTATGAACGTCATCATAAATAAGGAAAACTTACGTATTTCCAAGATTCATTAGAACACAAGATATATTTTGCGATGCTAATAAATTATTAAATAAAGGTAACTTTGGTAAAACTAAGCTAGTATCATAACAGATCCTAAGACTTACTTTTTTTCGTAACTTGAACATGTTTTCATAATTCTTTCTCCTATATCATCCATTTATAAAAAATATTGAATAGAAACCTATACAATTCGTGCAGTTAATAAAACTCAAAAGTATATAGCTGTTTTTTTATATCGATTAATCTTATATGAGAAAGAGCACTGATAGTTTATTGTTTAATCATCATCTGTAAAATATACGTTAGAAGAAAATGACGCCCAACTTTTGCATTTTTTTCGTTTTAATTTTATTCCGAATAAGCACACGAACGATATCAATTCGATCTTAATATTTTCACTTCACATATGGCAGTTAAATGAATAATAATATAACAATTTGAACAAACTTGATTTCGTATAGATAGCGTTTTTTTACAGTAAAAATAATCACGTCCAGTCTTTGTAAATATCCGAATTGTGTAAGGCTAAATGCTTACATTACGCGTCTTCTTATATTATTATTTGATATTATTAGAAATTTTATTTAGTTCTGAGTATTACAGAGTTCACCTAAAAGAATGTTAAAATGAAATTTAAAATAGAATTATTATATACATAAGCCATTTTACTATGTATTCGTTGAAAACAAAAGACAACTTATAAATCTAGCAAGACTATGAATCAATGAAAATGTTTGCAAACTCTTCTCGGATAGCCTTTAGATTTTTATTCTTTTTCTAAACTCATTGGACCATCCTTATAATTCATCATAACCTTAAATATTAGAAGAATCCAAGTTGTTGTATAATTATAATTCTTTATAAAAAATTTCTCTTGTAACTTTGAGAATTTTATCGAAATGATAAATAAAACATGTAAAATAATAAATATTTATTTTTATTTTTAATCTTATTGTATCATGTTGTTTATTAATTTTCTAATAGCTCTCTGATGAAAAAGAGTATAACATAGAAAACAAAAACAAAATCATCGTTGTTCAATTGATGTTATTATGAACAAAATTCGACGATTATCGAAGACGACGAGCTTCACGTTCAGATTCTAGAAGAACGAGGACATCGTCAACACGGCTAAATATAGAATATTAATCAATGGCATTTATTTGTCAAAACAAAAAATTACTCACACTGGGCCTTTGACGTTACGAATAATCGATCGTTTTGATGATGATCCATCGATAATTTCAACACGTACTTGTGTACATTGGCCCTGACTGCCAGTTCGACCAAGAATTTTAACAACACGTGCCATAACACCGCCAGTTGGGTTTTTATCCATGATGGTAGTCGAGTGAAATCTAGAAGATATTAAATTTATCAATTATAATGTAAAATAGTAAATAAACTAAAAAATGGTATCGAAAAAAGAACAAGCTAATAATGATTTTATGTGTCGCCATCTTGAACACATTGTACTTTGGCCTTCACTGCCTTTTGAAAAATTGAAGAAAAAATTTATGAAAAATTCATTAGAATATTTAAAATATTTTTTAAATAAGAAAATGTAAATTTTAATATAAATATCTCAAACCAATGAAATAAATTTCATTATCCGTATTATATTATTCGGATTTGTTTGACATTAAAATTATTACTTCGAATATCAGTTTTTCATTAGCTTAGTTTTTCATTATTATCATTTATTAGACCAATCACAATTAACTCTGATTAAGGAATCGTTAGACATTTTATTTTAAGATGTATTTCAAGTGAAACATACGATTTTTCTCTTTCATTAAGTTCCATAGCAACACATAAGCTAGTAAAAACTTTACATGATTACATAATCAACAATTAAATGTTAACAAACTAGTGTAGACGAAAAACGTGTTTCAAAAAAAAGATAATCTATAGTCATGTAAGCTCGTTTTCTCTTCTATGAAGTTGAAAAAACGTTCCTAGAACAAAAAAGATCAATAACAAACTATCATCAAATCTTTTCAGTTATTCGAAATCCTGAGTTCTATTGTAATCTTATTGAAGAATTTCTTTTAGATTATTTCAATCATGTCCGACGAAGAAAAATACGATGCACTTTTAATGAATATTGCTTCACAACATACAGGAGGAATACATGAAGTATTTTATTAAATTGAAATAAAATAAAAACCTTTTTGTTCTTTTTTTTCGTATTATAGTTACTTGATACATTATTTGGTTTTTTTGCACGTAAAACTGATTTATATACAAGTCCAAATGTTGATCAGAAACCTGAAGAATTAATTTTACAAGCATTTCATAAATGGGAAAAAGTTGCACTTGCAAAACATAAGAAAGATAAAGCAGAACGAGATGAAGTAAATCAATTCTAATTAGATTTTCTATGATAGAAAAGAAAATTTTTAATTTAAAGGCTGATCGTGTTCGACGTGAAAAATTACGTCGTAAACGTGAAGAAGAAGAAGGTGAAAAAAATGAATCATCACGTATTGTTGAAGTTACAGATGAAGAAGCTGATAGAATTACACGAGAAAATGCTCAAGCAAAAGTATGAATGACACATTGATAATTTTAAACATGATAAATCATATTTTTAGGCACAAAAAATGGTATCAGATAATAAAGCTTCAGTTGTAAAAGAAACTGAAACAAAAGTTACTGAATCTTCCGATGCTAAAGAAGAAAATAAGGATGAAAAGGTAGAAAAAAAATCAATTTTGTTTATTTCTATAAAATTTGTTTTACTATTAGAAAGAAGATGATGATGAAAATGAAGAAGATAAAGGAAAAGAAAAACCAAATACAGGTAATGGATGGACAGGACCTCATTATTCATGGACACAAACACTTGAAGAAATTGATGTAAGTTTTTCTTGTTTTTTTCCTATTCTTTATCCTAAATTTCTTCTATAATAAAATTAGTTACGTGTTCCAATTAATATTAGTGCTCGTGTAAAATCTAAAGATATTATTGTTAAATTCGATCGTAAGGTAAATAAATTCTAAAATACTATTATTTGAAATAATCTATCGTATATAATAGCATTTAACTGTTGGTCTTCGTGGTCATCCACCAATTATTGATGGCGAAACATTTGCTGAATTGAAAAAAGAAGATTCCATCTGGACATTAGATGATGGAAAACTTATTCATATTGTTATTGAAAAAGTATTTATAGTCTATAGATTTATTTTGTATATTTAATAATGAAATTTAGGTTAATAAAATGGAATGGTGGAGTCGTGTAGTAAAATCTGATCCTGAAATTAATACACGTAAAGTTCAACCAGAAAATTCAAAAGTAAACATGTTTTTAAAGAATATTTATTATTTTACTTCAATTTAATATAGTTATCTGATTTGGATGGTGAAACTCGAGGTATGGTTGAAAAAATGATGTATGATCAACATCGACGTGAAGCTGGTTTACCCACTTCTGATGAACAAAAAAAACAAGATATGCTTCAAAAGTATATGAATTTATCCTAATATAACTATTTTTTCATTTCTTATCTATTAGATTTATGGGTGCTCATCCGGAAATGGATTTTAGTAAATGCAAGTAAGTGTATTAATTTATAAATTTTATTTCTAGTACTACAATTATTCATTTTTATAATTAGATTCAATTGATCAATCTTCATTTGTTTTTTTTTATCATATAAACCAAGAATGATTTTGATAAACTGTGATTAACCACGTTCGTTATTGCGTTCTATCTTTGTATCGTTTTCTTTTTGAATTAAAACATAAACAAAAAATATCATGCACATCATCAACATTTTTATGCTAAATAAAAGAAATAGCTTATTCACTGAATATTTCGCACTGATTGAATTCGGAAAGTTCTTTTTAGTCACTATAAATCAGGGTTGCCAACTGTACCCCACTTTGTACCTCTGGGGGTACGTATTTTGTACCCCATTTAGGCTTTTAAATCTTCGGTGAGATTAACTAGTAATAGAAAAATTGCGGATTCTCCATTATTACAAATTCAAAAACGCTAAAAACTGGACCTACCACCCTTTGTAACTAGACGAATATTATCCTAAATTTTTAGATGTTTTGCCCTTATTAGAGGGAAGATTTTTTTCCATGTCCTAAAATCAAAATAGTCAAAATTTTCGGTAGACGTAATTCAAAATTTCAATAAAGTGCTTTTATTTAGGTGTCTTTTTTATATGCTTTCATATAGTACAAGCAGCTGATGATGATAGATTGATTTTTAGTCTTTGAAAAAGCTTTTAGATGACAAAAGGTTTAAAACTTCTAAAGACACCATTTTTTTCGTGAAACGCGGAATTTTCTGTTTCGCTCCCTTTTTCAGCTTAGTAAAATACTTCTTTTGAGATGGGTGTGTGTTTGGATATATCTCAATATACCCACACCCACATATACACTCTCAAAGAAGTTTTATTTCATCGGTTTTCTCGGTTAAATCCTTTATTTCTCGAGGGACATAATGTACCCCAGATGTACCCCATTTGCACTTTCATAAAGCCCATTTAAAAAATAAGAAATGGCAACCCTGCTATAAACTCTCGGACTTCTATAATCATATTGGCTGTGTTATTCTGTACATTTTCTCTTCACAAGAATTCTTCAGATTTTTACTTGGAAAGATAAGATGATGACTTGTAGCGTCCTCTTAAGGATTTCCTATTTAAATCAATCGATTTTGAAACCAAAATATACTTTTAATAAATAATAAAACTTAAGATGAATTTAATTCACGTACTAAATTTTGATCTTGATTATAGTAGAATACAATTGGTTGTATTATTCGACCAATGATGTATATTAGTACAGCGTAATCTTGTACTGACTAACTAACAAGTTTTTTAGCAGATTTAAACGAAGTAGTAACTTTTTCTTTTAGATATAAAATGCCTAAACGTAAAACTGGGCAACGTAAAAAAGCTGAAAAGCAAAAAGAACGACAAAAAGTACTAGCATCAGCTTATAGCAATAAACAATTAGTTGAATGGCCATGCAATTTCTTGATGGTATAAAGATTAAACAAGAAAAAGAAATTTATTTTTATTAATTAACTTTTTCTATTCATTTAAAGGAATGTGATAGATGCAAAAAACAACAGAAAAATCGTGCATTTTGTTATTTTTGTCAAGCTGTTCAAACATTACCTGTTTGTGCACAATGTGGTTTGTTTTTATAAATATCTATTTAATTTATTAATCTCTTATAATTTAAGGAAAACAAAAATGTCTATCAAAATCAGGTGATTGTCTTGTTAAACATGGTGTTATACATGCGACAGGTCTTCAATTAGTGGTAAGGTAAGTTAATTCTATTTTAGTCTTATTATATATTTTATTATTTTGAGGGCGCTATTTGTGATTATTGTGAAGCATGGATATGTCATTCAAAAAAATGTTTAACAACACATCCATGTCAATGTCCATTACAAAATGGTGATTGTATTGAATGTAATCGAAGTGTTTGGGAACAAGGTAAATAAAACTATTATTTTAATAGAATATATTTGTTTTTATTTAACTAGGTGGACGAGTTTTTCAATGTTCATTTTGTACTCAATTTCTTTGTGAAGATGATCAATTTGAACATCAAGCATCATGTCAAGTACTAGAATCAGAAAATTATAAATGTAAATTAGAATAATATAGAATTAATCAGTTTTTATCTAGTATTTTGAAAATATTTAGGTGCATCTTGTAGTAAACATGGTCAGTGGTCATGTTTAAGGTAAAAATTTGACTAACCAAAAAAATAAAAGCTAAATTTTAATAATTTTTTTATAGGTGTAAAGTATGTTATTGTGATGAACATATAAAACGACGTGGTTTTAAATATACTCAAGGTGAAGCATATCCATGTCCTAAATGTAATTTTCCAACAAAAGAAACGAAAGATTTAGCTATGTCAAGTAAGATAATAATCTTCTGCTTTGTTTTTTGAAAAGTAAAAAATCAATTTTGTTTTCTCTTAGCTCGCGCTTATGATTATGGAAGAAAAACTGAAAAGGGTTATGGAGATATAGACGAGGAAGAAGAAGAGACTACGTTAGGCATGACTGGTGGGTGTGATTATTTTACACGTGGTGATGGTAGTCGAAATTTCACATTTGGCGGAAAAGCTATTGAAGAGCGAGCGCCAAGAGATGAAGATGACAGCGACGAAGGTTTGATTTATTAATTTTTCTATTTTTAATTAAATAATTATTTTTGCTTAGATGAAGATGATGATGATGATGAGGACGATGAAGATGATGACGATGATGATGAAGAAGATGATGAGGAGGAGGAGGAGGAAGATGGTGATGATAATAATGAAGGCAAAGAAGAAAATGAAAAATCACCCGAACAACAATAATTTAAAAAAAAACAAGCAAATGAATTTCAATTGTTATTTGTTTTTTTCGTTCATTAACCAGCCTGTTTCTTGTATCCATTCTTCTAATGTTTTCATTTTATTATAAACTTCTTTTGTTTTTTCCGGATGTCTTTCTTCAAAATCTCCATACTCATTATACCATCTCATATTATCAAGTGTTTCTTTACTTTGTCCAACACATTGATCATAAGTCAATGGTGTATATCGAATTTTTTCATTTCTTGTAACATGTCGTATTATATGACATATTTCATCCATTGTTAATCGTTGAGCTACAATTGGAATAATATTTCCCTGTCCCCATTGATCAGGATGCTCGAAACATTGAACAACAATAGGACCAGTATCACGAACATCATAAAGAGGAAGACGAGCATTTGGTTGTAGTAAAACACGAAATTCAAAATCAATTGTAGGTTGAAAAAATGTTTCAAAATTTTGATAATAAAAACCAACATAAATAAATGTTGTATAGGGAAATAATGGTGGATTTTGTTGAGCACGAATATAAGATTCAACACGAGCTTTCATCCTAAAAGAATTATTAAAACTACTTCGTTATGATATAATCTTGACTCTCGTATTAGTCAATAGTTATATTTTTCTAAACTTTCCTTACATATAATGTGGTAAATCAAGTTGTCCATTAGAAATAGTAACTGTATTTGGTAGACTACTCCAAATAAAATGTTGCACACGTTGTTGTTTAGCTGCATTCACCATATTCATACCTTGTTCATATTCTTTATTTGCACCACATTCCCAAAAGTTAGTCATGGCAAATACACCATATGCATCTTTGAAGGCTTCTAAACATTCATCAAATGAATCAATGTTGCATGATACCATTTCAACACCTTTTTCAATTAATTTCTAAAAGAAAATTCAATAGAAAATTGTTTTAATTTCAAGAAAGCGATTACTTGACTATCTGTGGACGAAATATTTCTTGAAAGACCACGTATTATCCATTTATTTGAGTTAATTAATTCATTTACTACACTACCACCTTGTCTGCCAGTTGCTCCAACAACAACAATTAGTCGTTTCATCTTTTTTTCTCTGTGTCACTTAAGATAAAAGTCATTTATACACTGATAAAACTTCTATGAGTAATCGGTCAACAAACATAAGTTTATTTCTTCATCTTTTTTTTCATTGTTTAGAAGTTTCTCTCTTATAGAACACCGTTTACAATGTAAGACTAAAACATGATTTCGGTTTTAGCAAAAAAAAATGATTATTTGTTAAATATATATTTAGGTCAGCAGGAATAACAAATCCAAACTATAAATCAGATAGTGTTCGTTATACACCTCCAAACCGCATTAAACAGTTACAGGGACAAGTTGATGAGGTATATATATATGAAATATGAAATATTTGTTTTAATTATTTAAACTAGGTTACGGATGTTATGAGAAATAACATTCGATTAGAATTAGAACGTGGTGGGGCACTTGATGCACTGGAACAGAAATCAGGTAAAATGCATTTAAGATTAATAGAGTTTTAGAAAAAGAAAAAAACTGATAATTTTTATTTATTTATATCAATAAAGACATTTTAAATGAAGGAGCACGAAGCTTTTCTATTCGTTCAAAACAACTTAAAAAGAAATATTGGTGGAAAAATCTTAGAGTAAGTACATGGAAAGCTCTTTTTTTCCTACCGAAAAACTTTCTTTATTGTTTAGATGTGGATTATTCTTAGTATCGTTGTTGCAATAGTTATCATTATAATTATCCGTAATAATTGATGTTTTTAAAATCATTTTTAAACTATTTGTTTTCTAGTTGCTTCTGTCCTTGGTCCAAAGAAAAAAACATAGACGATATCAATTTGGTTTTTTTTGGACTATTTTTTAATACTTATGTGCACTTACCAATTCTTTTTCTATTGATTCAATAATGAAACAGAACAAGATTTACAATTCAAAGAAAAATCTATATTTTTTATATAAATAATTAGAGAATTTATGCATGAATTATAGTCCGTTATTTTGAGAATTTTGTAATGAAATCAAATCAAAATAGCATTTTTCGATAAATAATATAAGATAGATTTATGCTAATTGCTATACAAAGAATGATATTGAAATTTATCATTTTCAAATGATGACTTTTTATGTAGATTCGCATTTTCTACATTGAGTTTTGATCTATAAATACTGCTGTGGCTTCTGGATTGTGGACATTTTTCTTAATTGGTGGAAACAATCAAAAATAGACAACAAAAGATGATTAGACAGGATAATTCTAGTTTAGCATAGATATCATATCTTTCGAGCTGGTTAGCGTCGAATGAAACATGCGATCGAGATCGTGTTTAACATGTACTATGGGCTAAAGTATTTAAAGCAAGCGAGATAAAATTTGATAAATTAAAAGGAATTGTCGATCGTAAATGATTATAGCTTTTCTATAATTACCACAAATGGGCAATAATGGAATAACTTTCAAAGATTATAGTTTTAGATTAAAACGAACAAATAATAATGGAATCAAACGTTGTATTTATACACATGAAGATTCGATTGTTAAAAATTCGTTTATTAAATCACATAAGAAACTAGATCTATTGTTTGAGCATCTGTTAACTATAAATAAGTCTCCATACAACGAAGCAAAATTCAAAAAGAGAGATTTACTATTGATAAAAATATTCTAAAAGTTTCCGTTAAAACAAATGTTTCTCTCACTATTATTGTATAAATTAGATTTGTCCAAATTTTCCTTACATATAATATGATAAATCAAGTTGTCCATTAGAAGTAGTAATTGTATAAAGTACACTACTCCAAATAAAATGTTGAACACCTTGTTGTTTAGCTGCATTAGTCATATTCATACCTTGTTCATATTCTTTTTTTCTCTATGTGACTCAAGATAAAATTCATTTATACACTGATAAAACTTCTATGAATCATCAGCAAACAAACACAAACTTATTCCTTCGTCTTTTTTTTTTCATTATTTAGAGGTTTCTCTTTCATAGAATACACTTTACAATGTAAGACTAAAACATGATTTCGGTTTTAGCAAAAAAAACGATTGTTCGTTACATATGTATTTAGGTCAGCAGGACTAACAAATCCAAGCTATCAATCAGACAGTGTTCGTTATACACCTTCGCCACGTCTTCAAGGATTACAGAACCAAGTTGATGAGGTATATATATATATATATGAAACAAAAAAATATTTGTTTTAATTATTTGAATTAGGTTACGGATGTTATGAGAAATAATATTGGAATAGCATTAAAACGTGGTGAAGCACTTGATCAACTGGAACAAAAAGCAGGTAAAATATATTTACAATTAATAAAGTTTTAGAATAAAACAAAACTTATAATTTTTATTACTTTATATTAATAAAGAAAATTTAACTTCTGAGACCGAAAGGTTTTCTTATCGTTCAAAACAACTCAAAAAGAAGTATTGGTGGAAAAATCTTAGAGTAAGTACATGGAAATCTGTTTTTTTCCCTACCGAAAAATACTCTTAAATTTCGTTATTATTTAGATGTGGATTATTCTTGGTATTGTTGTTGCAATCATCATCATTATAATTATCAGTAATATTTGATGTTTTTAAAATCATTTTTAAATTATTTGTTTTCTAGTTGCTGCTGTTGCCAGTGGAAAGAAAAAAACATAGATGATATCAGTTTGGTTTTTTTTCTGACTATTTTTAATATTTATGTACTCTTATCAATTCTTTTTCTTTTGATTCAATAATTAAATCGAATAATATAAACTAATTATAATCAAGATCTCAGTTTTAATTCTACATCTGTAATTCATTTATAGAGAATTTTTTATTGTTAATATTCGTTTATTTTATAATAGAGAAATACAACATGATTTACACTTCAAAGAAAATTTTGTTATGTTGATTGGTATACAAAGAATGGTATCGAAATGTATTATCTTCAGATGAAGAATTTTTATGTTAATCCGCATTTGTTACATTGAGATCCGATCTATAAATACTGCTGTCGACAGATATAAATTCACTATGTTACGAACCGTGGCTTTTTGATTGCGGACATTTTTTTCTTAATTCGTGAAAACAATGAAAAGTAGACAACAAAAGATGATTAGTCGAGGTAATTCCAATTCATAATGACTATCATATCCTTCGAGCTAGTCACCGTGGAATGAAATATGTGACCGAAGTCATGTTAACCATGTACTATGAGCTAAAGTATTTAAAGCAAGCGAGATAAAATTTGATAAATTAAAAGGAAATGTCGCCCGTAAATGATTATAGCTTTTCTACAATTGCCACAAACAGGCAACAATGGAATAACTTTCAAAGATTATAGTTTTAGATTAAAACGAACAAATAAGAATGGAATCAAACTTTATATTTATACACATGAAGATTCAATTGTTAAAAATTCGTTTATTAAACCGTATACGAACTAAATCCATTGGTTGAGCATCTGTTAACTATAAATAAGTCTCCATAAAACGAAACAAAATTCAAAAAGAGATTGTGCTAGATATTTTAAAACTTTCCTTATATAGAAAATGTAAATCAAGTTGTCCATTAGAAATAGTAATTGTATTTGGTAGACTACACCATATGGATCTTTGAAAGCTTCTAAACACTCATCAAATGAATCGATATTACATGATACCACTTCAACACCTTTTTCAATTAATTTCTAAAAGAAAATTCAATAGAGAATTGTCTTAATTTCAACAAAATTACTACTTGACTATCTTTGGATGAAATATTTCTTGAAAGACCACGTATCTGTTAGAACAAAATCTGTAAGAACACCTTAATGGTAGAAGTGATAGTGTAAACTATATTTATCACTTTCAGCAGATCGTAGTAGAACTATTGTTATTATGTTACCATTTATCTTCTTTCGCTCTGTAGCTAAATGTGATATTTCGATTACATCACTATCAATAAGAAAAACTGCGCAAAAATAACGTGTAGCCTGTGCAAATCCAATAAGCAGAGCAAGAAAGATGACTGTTTCCGAATACAAATATACTGAATATAATGTTGAGCTTTGCATTTTCGGGATTGACATATTTTGGAATACTTCTAGATGTTTATTCACATCTTTTCGAGTAATTAAATCATTCAGTATTCTTGAAAATTCAATCTCTTTTGTTACAGTCACTCCGTCTCTAAGGAGTCAATCGTTTCATCTTTTTTTCTCTGTGTCACTTAAGATAAAATTCATTTATACACTGATAAAACTCCTGTAAATAATCAACAAACAAATATAAGCGTAGTTTTTCATCTTTTTTATTATTATTTAGAGGTTTCTCTCTCGTAGAACGCAGTTTACAATGTAAGACTAAAACATGATTTTTTTTTAGCAAAAAAAATGATTATTGGTTCCAAATGTATTTAGGGCAACAGGATCAACAAATGGTGTTCGCTATACATCTCCATCAGGTATTCAACAATTACACGGACAAGTTGATGAGGTATATATACATATATATGAAATATAAAATATTTATTTGAATTATTTGAATTAGGTTATGAATGTTATGAAAAATAATATTGCATTAGAATTAGAACGTGATGGAGCACTTCATGATATAGAACATAAATCAAGTAAAATATATTTGAAATTAATAAAGTTTTTGAAAAAAAAACAAAACTGATAGTTTTTATTTATTTATATCAATAAAGGTATTTTAACTGAAGGAGCTCGAGACCTTTATCTTGGTTCAAAAGAACTTAAAAAGAAATATTGGTGGAAGAATCAAAGAGTAAGTATATGTGAATCCTCTTTTTTTCTACCGAAAAAATTTCGTATCCTTCTGTATTGTTTAGGTATGGATTATTCTTTATATTATTGTTGCATTAGTAATCACTATAATTATCAGTAATAATTGATAATTTTAAAATCATTTTTAAACTATTTATTTTCTAGTTGCTACTGTTGCCGGTGGAAAGAAATAATAAATGATATCATGATGGGTTTTTGACTATTTTTTAATACTTATTTGTTCTTCTCACTTGTTTTTCTTTTGATTCAATAATTAAATAGAATAATATAAGTTAATTATAATTAAGTTTTCAGTTTTAATTCTATATTTATAACTAACTTATGGAAACCTTTTTATCGTTGATGTTGATTTATAATTCAAAGAAAAACTTGTTATGTTAATTGGTATACAAAGAATGATATTGAAATTTATTACTTGTGCGATTTATTCTTACAAGAAAACGACTCATTGTAATCTTCTTTGAATGATTGACTATATGCTTTACTAAAACTATCATAAAGAGATTTATCTTAAAACTTTCGCAACAGAGAGGATATTACGAGATTCAGCATGAAATGCGCTACAAAATATAGAGAATGTTCCTTGTTTTTCAAGTGAAGAAAATGATATTACAAATTTTTAAGTATTCAATTACACAATAAATCATATTTTATAATTCTTATATTAATATTGAATGAATGGATAAACGACGAAATAACTGGTGTGATTAACAGAAAAATATTGAATAAATCAATATATTTGATGCACTCTTCACATTCATTCTATCTATTAGATATGAAAAGGAAAACGTCACCACGATTTTCGTTACGATCTGTAGTACACAAAAACAGACAAAGATGAATTCGATATCTTCGATAATTGAACACGCAGTCTTTCGAAAAAATAATTTTTCGTTTAAAAATTAACTTCCATCTTTTGATGATTTTGATTCTTCAACAGTTTGTGGTGTAACACGATTTCTATTCATTCTTATTCGCATACATTTACGCCTGATTATTTTATGAAATAAGCATTTAACTTGTCGCCGAAATTGACTTGATGTGAGATAAAAGATATAAAAACCACCCTAAAAATAAAAATCAAATAATCACGATGAAAACAAAAGAATAAATCAATTACTGCATGTTGAATAGTAAAGATCGCAGTAATAATAGTACTACTTAATCGATCAACTGCAACAGCAAATTCATTATTCACATCAACTGGATTGTTTATTTCATATATTCGAAAGCAAACAAATGGAGTAGTTGTGATAACAAATATAGCAACTCGAACAAGTATCATCGCTGTTAATTGATGATCAAGACGTCTTCGAACTACTGGCATTTGTCGTCGTATAATACGACGAACATTTTGATAAGCAAGTAAACTGAATAATGACGAGATTGTCATTGGTATAACTCCAAGAAGTAAACATAAATGAATGAATGAATAGTAATAGTTAAATGTTGGATTAAATGTTGCACAACCGGCATCGACATGAATTTCTGTAAAAATTGCAAAAGGAATACCATACAATGCTGCGAATAAACTAACAATAGCAATAAGACAATGTGCTATTTTAAGAGTACTTAATTGTCTTAACTGAACATAATAACTTGTCGCTAAATATTGATCAATAGCAATAATACACATGATAATTGCTAAAATAACTGCAGTAAATTGAAGGAGATACTGTCGAATTTTACACCAAATAAGTGATGTTCGTGTTGGATCATAGCCAAATGCAGCTGTAGTTACACGAACTGCTGATCCAAAAATTAGTTGATTAGACTGAACGATTGCTGTAACTGTAAGATAGAATGCTGATTGATTTTTTCGAAATATTTTCAATTGTGTAAAAACAAGAGTATTAATAATATTTCCAATAACACCACTAATCACAATAAAATAACCAATATAAACAGATATAATAAAATTAATAAAATCTATTGTTTTTACTGTCGATGCCATTGTATCAAAAAAAAAATATGTCAATTTTTCTTTAATATCTAAAAATATGACTTAAAAACAGTGCATTCTTGTTTTGTAAATAGATCATTGATAAGAATAACATTACTAATGAAATTGTTGAAGTACTCGGAAATTGAAGTAAAAATTTTTTAATTAACGAAGAAACGTGCCTTATATGAAAAAATTGACATGATTATTAGTACGTAGTACATAACTTCCTACTATCTCATGAGCATACATCATTATAAGTAAATATAAAATAGTCTTCCAGTATATTCTAAATCTATTTAACTCGAACTACGTGTCATATCCTAAATAATATTTCAAATGTGTATCAGTATAAACCTAATTCAATGATAATAGCGACTAGTTTAATTAATACCATAAAAATCAAACGATTCTTTACAGTACCTAATCATAATCGTGTTAGATAAATAGTCGAGAAATCGGCGGATCGGCGACCGCCACCCCCTGGAAAATAGATACTTCGACAAATACTGAAAACAGGTAGAACACTACAGGTTTCTCTCCTAAAAAATAATACTACTTTCCAATTTTTTTTATAAGCCGTCACTCCCTCAAGGAAATCCTGGATCCGCCACTGTTATTATGCACTTAAAAAATATTTTTATATGACTTGTACTATAATACGAAGAAAAACCTAGGTCGTAATTTCTATTCAAAAAAAAGGTTTATAGGACATTCCTATTACTTTTTTCTATTATAATTTGTTGCTTACTTTAGAACTGGAATGTTCTTCATTCTTTATGTTACGTTCCACTTAAAGAATGACTAAGAGTTTGTATTTAATTTAGCACTGCAGAGCTTTTTTAACTATTTACTTTTACTATAAATTAGATTATAATGAAAAAGAAATTAAATCATTTTTGTTATAAAAGAAACACTCGAAAAAAGACATTTTTCGATTAATATAAAGTCAAAATATAATCATTAAAGTTTTTGATAGTACTGTCAGTATTCTAGATAGAGATAATGCTAAAATTTGGATTATATACACATTCTTGACCCAGATAAATTCATCATGTACGCCCACAAGTTTTTCTCTCTCTAACTTCTTCACCATAAAATCACGCATCCGTTCGTATGATTTATAACATGATAAATAATAAAGTCACACCGTTATAGAAAATCTCTTTCATAGGTGTTCTACTTCTGTTTTGCAACACTTGTAATGATATGAAATCAAAATTTATTTAAATACTAGATACAATATAGAATTTATACACTACAATTTTAATTTTTCAAGAAAAATTCTATTGATAGTTTATAACACTGTCATTTATTTCACCGAATACTATTCATCAATTGATTAATTTAGTATTGCTGGTTTTATAGCTTGTACTGGAGGAATACCATGTGCAACTTTAATTTTTGTCACTTTTTTTGTAATACATTTGCATAAATTCTTTTGAAAAAATGCACGTCTCACTTGTCGACGAAATCGAGCTGATGTCGCATAATAAACATAAAAGCCACCCTAAAAATACAAATCAAATGATCACGATAAAAATAAAAAATAAATCACCTACCGAATTATTCATAGTATAGACTGCATTAAAACATGAACGGATTAATTGATCAACTGCAACAGCAAATTCATTAGTCTGATCAACTGGATTATTAATTTGATATATTCGAAAGCAAATATAAGGAATAGTTGTAATAGCAAATAAAGCAACTCGAACAAGTATCATTGCTGTTAATTGTTGATCAAGACGTCTTCGAACTAATGCAATGTGTCGTTGTACAAGACGGCGAACATTTTGATAAGCAAGGAAACTAAATAATGATGATATAAATATTGGTACAAAACCATTAATTAAACAAAAATGAATAAATGAAAAGAAATAATTAAATCCCGGATTAAATGTTGCACATATTATTTGAATATCTTCAAAAATCAAAAAAGGAATGTCATATATAATTGCATAGATAAGCAACCCCGAAACAGCACGTTGTGCTAACTTGTAAGTACTAATTTGTCTTAAACGAGGATAATGATTTGTTGATAAATATTGATCAATAGCAGAAAAACATTGATTAATTGTTAAAACTACTGATCCTGATATACTGAAATATGTTCGAAGTTTACACCAAGCAAGAGATGTTTTTGTTGGATCATAACCAACAGTACTTGCTACAGTACGAGTTGTAGTTGCAAAAATTAATTGCCAACAATCAACAAATGACCCAACTGTAAGATAAAATGCTGATTGATTTTTTCGAAAGGTTTTCAATTGTGTAAAAACAAGAATATTGATAATATGACCTATTAAACCAGTAATTATAGTGAAATAACCCACATAGACAGTAATGATAAAAGAACTAGAGTTAATCGTTTGTTCAGTGGAATCCATTAAAGACAAAAATGTAAGCTTTTGCTTGCGTCAGTTGTGTTTAGCTTCTGTATGTTTGAAAGCGTTGAAAAATCTACATATGTTTAGAAAAAACTCGTATTTAAATTTATCTGCTATTAGAATATTCAAAGAGTATATATCATTTTTCCATAGATATAATTGCTGAGGAACTGAAAAAGAAGAGAAAACTACGAATTAGTAAAATGAATCAATTGCAAATTTGAGATATCATTATATAGTAGCCTGAAACGTCCGGCAAATAGTCGTTAGTATAATTATCCTCAATTATCAGTCACATGGAAAGGATCTTCATCATTAATAATGAATTATTAGAGTAGTGTCTTTATGGTAAAACAAATATGCGTTATCGAGTCCTCTAATAAATATTAATATTTAGGATATAACAGAGATTCGTGATTACAGTGATAATTGACTTTTTTTGTAAATGAAATTTTCTACTATTGATTTTCTTCTGTACTATATTATCTATTTCGATTATATACACGAGCGTTCTTCCTAATAAACAATAGTATATAGATCATCTAAAGTTTATAATGCAAAGATTCAATTAGTTGTGAAGGAGTTTTACGACACTTGTAATTCTAATCATTTTATAAGTGTCGAAAAATATTTTCAATCAAATTCTTCTATGCATTTGTATATTAGATATATTGTTGTTTCTAATAATAAAAAACAAGTCAAAATAAGTGGACAATTTTTTCTAGATTCATCAATTATTTTTATGTAATATAAATAGGATGGTTTTGAATTAACTAGCTTCCGGATGAAAATCTCTATATTTATAGATATCTAATTGCTTGTTCAATAAGTAATACTATTCTTTTTTTATTTCGTTGTAGTTTCACAATATAGAATTAAAAGATTGAAAGTTGGATTATTCCATGAGATAATCTTTATTCGTGGCATTTCATTGACAGAAGAAGTCACAGAGGAAAATGATTTACTGTGCAATAAAAACAATATCATTATCTCATTTGTAATCGTTTAATAATGTCATTTAATGTTATAAAACTAGAATTTTCTCATAAAGCAAACTAATGATTGTTATTATTTGAGATTTTCTATATCCGAAAGTCATCATAAGAATCTATCAATTAGACTTATGAAACAATTACAACGATAATATCGTTCAGTTTGTAGGTAGATGCATTAAGTTTATTGAAGACTAATATAAAATCATCTATATTTAATTGATATCGATATGTAATTAATTTACAGTTGCAACTTGATTTATATTCAAATTCATTGACATACATTTACGCTGGATCTTTTTGTGAAATAGAGTTGACGTACTGTAAAACACGTAAAAAAAAATTTAATATCCTGATCAATTGGATTGTTAATTTGATATATTCAAAAACAAATATATATATATGGAATAGTCATGATAATAAACAGAGTTATGGTTTCTATCAAATCACTGATCACGTTAACATAACCAAGATAAACAGTGAAAGTTTATTAACTATTCTATTTCATTTTTATGTTTGTTGATTTGCTTTCCATGTTAAATAAATAATAACTCTAATGAAGATTACAAAAGTATAATTATGAGTATCTAGTTGTCTTGCTTAACGGAGATATCAAACAGAAAAAAGAGGTTGAAAGTATGTTATTTTGTTTACTTGTACACTCTGAAATGTACTTGTTTTAATAAATATAAGTATAGCTGTTTAAAGGTTAAAGGCAATTTAAAGTTAAAACGTAAATCATTATCACACACAACTATATATTTATTTTTATTATCCTATGCTTTTTTGTTGATTTGTTTAAGATAATTTTTAGAAATTTCAAACATGAAAAACGAATGTGAGAATAAGATTAATATAATTCAGTACAAGATATGAAGACATCGAAGAGTTCTGTGTTTTAGTTTTGAAAGTAGAATTAATTTTATTGAGTTACCATTACAGCTGAAGCAATTAGAATTTAATTAATTAGTTATAGCATTGAAAAAAATGAAATGAAATAATTAATTTAACTTTGTGAGAAACTTATTACTAGCAAAGTTTCAAAATAGACCGATCAGAAGTTGCTCATATCATAGCAAAAACTGCGTCTAGACAGAATTCTATTTATTCGAACTGATATAACAATTCAATACATTTAAGTTACGAATTTCTCAGTATTCCTAAATTTTGTATGGATTATAACCAGCGTATTCTCTTCAATTCTCAAAATTTATCTAAGAGAAGTCAACAAAGAAAGCGTAGGTTAATGAAAATACTATCGGGAAGCAAATATTCAAAGAGCAAATGTGCTTGGAAAGCAACTGTCGCTCGGAAGCAAGTATCCGGAGAGCAACTGTCTAAAGAGCATCATTCATATTTTCCATACTGTTCTATGAATAGGAATGGCACTTTATCTTTACTTTACCCGGTAAAGTAAAGTGATTCATTTGACCCTACTTGACTCGGTAAAGTAAAGTGGCATAATTGACTTTACTTTACCCGATAAAGTAGAGTTACTCTATTATACATTACTTTATTTTATCTTTTTAAAGTAAAATAAAATGAAAGTATCACCCCGACCTATGATGCATTTTTCAACATTATGTCAAATGATTGCATTTAATTAATATATAAAGACTTGCTTGTAATAAATGTTTTCTATTTCAGACACGATCAGTAACCGTTTATATACCTGTAATTACATAGTACGTTGCTAATTATACAATTTATACAAGTTTATTATATTTTTCTCAAATAATAACTTGTTCAAATCTTGAACAACAACACCTAACTTTTAAGTGAGTGAATCAAATCTGTAGTTTTTCTCCTGTTGATTATGATAATTACTATTTTGCAGTACTATTTCTTAGCAGAATATACCAATTCATAATAAATTATTATTTAAAATATGCAGCAATTAAACTACATGAAAGTATTTACATAATATTTTGCCCTTAGATCTACTAAATTAGGACGAAGACTCATTCTGTTCTTAATTTTCTTTAGAAGATAGCCTGTATTTATATTTACATCAATTTCAAAGCTTCCCTAAGGGATAAGCTGCTCTTCTGATTACGCCCTTATTATTTTTTTGATTGAAAGCATCCGGTTTAAAATCTAGGAAAATAAAATAAAAGATGGCACCAGAAATCGTTATATTTGTTACTTTTTATTTTACTCCTGAGTTACTTCCTCTTTTCTTTCTTTCCGACCATCACTTGACGGTATTGTCATGGCAACTAAAGGAAAAAACCTATTTACTTGTAGCAGTTGATATTTTTCCTTATATTTACAAAGATCTTATGACATGCTTAAATATTAATAGTTAAACTGATCAATAATTCTGGTGCTATATTCTGCATAACAATATTTTTTTTCCTTTGCATTTTTAATCAGTTTTGACAAATGACGGATGTTGTTTCATCGCACTACCCATGGTCACGTAATACAATGGCAGGAAATCCAAAACAGCAGCATCAATATTCAAAATCTATTCATCTCACAGTACCACGATTTACAAAAGACATTCCATCTCGTACACCATTATGTAAAATAACATTATATCGAAATGGTGATCGTTATTTTCCCGGTAAACAAATTAGTATAATCCCACAAAATTATACTGACCTACAATTTTTTTTACAACAATTATCGAGTATTATTGATTTACCCTATGGTGTACGACATTTATTTACACCACATAATGGTTCTGAAATTACTAATATACATTTTTTAAAAGATGGTGCATCATATGTATGTGCATCATTTGAACCATTTCAAAAATTAGAATATAAAGCTATTAATATACCTCGAATAATCTCTAGAAGTGAACACCGTAAGTAATCATTGGTTTCTTTCTTTTTTTTTGTGTCACTAGATTTTCTTTATTATTGATCGAATAATATTCTTCCCTTTTTTTTTATGCATCTGTTTATATAAAACAAATATTTCTCGTCTAATATTACTTTTTTTCAGCATAATGATTGCCTTCTCCAATTAAAATATTCTTTAAATATACATAAGAAGGATTTCCTTTCGTACCGATGCATGTCTACATTCTCTCATACGGCTGCTTACATCTTTTTAATTACTATTATGATTATGCATTACAAAATCAACATATATAAATAAAAAAAAAAAGAAGACATTAAAAATTTTATCGAGTCTGTAAACTGATTTGATTTGATTTTTTTTTTTGAAGAATCAGTAGGAAAAATTTCGAAAGTAACTTATTTATCGAATGAACTACTATGTCACGACGAGAATATTTGAAGAAATATATTGTATGAATGATGATTATTATTAACTAATAAACAACAGAACGTCGGGAGCTCATTCAATATTCAAGAATTTTTTTTTTCTCATATAACGATCGAGATTAGAATAAGAAAAATAAGGCAAAAAAGAAAAGAAAAAGAAAATGAAGAAAGAAAAATAAGAGAAATAATATTGTGTCTAATAAAAAAAAGAAAAGAATTGTAGTTGTTAGATGAAGTAAAAAGAAAACAAATGAAGTACAACTCTTGAATCTTTCATCGACATTTACTTTTACATACCATCAGTATGTTCTTAACACCTAAAGTGTTCAATTTTAATGTATATCAATCATTTGGTTGGCCTGGTAAGTTAAGTGAGAGAACAAAAAATCAAATTTCATTTCATTAAGAAAGATATTTATCAATAAGAAATCTCATTTTGGTACATTTTCTATTTAGTTCGTCAACCATTAAATGATATTCATTCACCAGGTCGTGTAAATGTACGTCATTTACCTACGACATCATTACCAAAAGTAGGTGCTATCAATGGTTCAGTAACAACAACAACAAATCGTTTTCTTGCAAATAATCTTTTTTTACAATCATTTACTTCAGCCGCTGCTAATTCTATTCAACAGCAACAACAAAAAAAACAAAATTTAAAACAAAATAAATATGGTTTAGAACCATTAGCTAATAAACCACGTTCAATAACTATTGTTAAACAAGGACATGAAAAAACACATAAAACTATTACGATATTACTTAATCGACGAACTGTTCAGACATTTGAGCAACTGTTATCAGATATTTCAGAAGCATTTGGATATCAAAAAAATCGATCGGACAAAGTGAGAGTTTGTTTTTAATTAGATTTTTCATTCGGAATATAATATTTATTGAATAGATCAAATGTTTATATAATTTAAAAGGAAGACAAGTTAATGGAATTAATGATTTTTTTCGTGATGGTACGGTATACATCTTCTTTTACTTATAATTTTAATAGTCTTTATATAGATGATGTATTTGTTGCTGTAACGAATTCTACTGATATTTCATCAGTAGATCTAAATGAAATAAGTCTTAGAATATTTAATGATCCTCAACAATCAATACATCATCGAAAAAAGAATGTTCGAAAATCTGTTGATCAAGATACAGTTACAACAGGACCAAGTAATGTTAATATAAACGAAAAAAACTATAGATAGATATGATAGTACAGTTTTAGAAGAAGAAGATGGTCTATCTCGTAAAAATAGTGGATTAACATCAACACGTAAACCTCATGAAAATAGTTTTGAAAATACAACTACACCTAATCATTCTCATCGAAAAGGAAAAAGTAATAAAAAAAAACAATTCTTCTTTATTTTCAATAATCTTTTTCTTTTTTTCTAAAGAAGTACATAAATTACCAACGATTAATAGTATTGAACAACAACGTGAACGTGAACGACAACGTTTACGTGACGAAGAAGAACAACGTCGAAAGAAAATATTCTTAAAAAAAGAATTTCAACCAGCAGTACAAATATTTTCTGTACCGAAATTTGAACAATTAATAATTGATATTAATACTAATGAACCATCTCATCCAACTAAAATAAAAACTCCAACATCAGGTAGAAAGGAAAAAAAAGATTTTTTTCAAGTAACGATAATATTATTTTAATAGTAAAAACTAAAGTTTCATCTATACCTTCCTTGCCAACAAATCATTCAAATGAAAATGAAATTATTTCATTATCAAAAACCTCGACTATTAAAAAACGTTCATTAATAGTAGTAAGTTTTAACAAAAATTATTTCTATGAATTTTCAAACTGATAATTTTTAGCATCCTTCTCCATCTATTGTTACGGATAAATATGACTTAGGTAAAAAAATGGGTGATGGAAATTTCGCTATTGTACGTCGTTCAAAATTACGTAATACTGATAGAGAATATGCCGTTAAAATTATTGATAAATCAAAAATGAAGGTAAGAATAAATGAAATTATTTTTTTTCTATTTATCGTTTGCTCTTATTATTCTAGGGAAAACATTATATGCTTGAACATGAAATAAATATTATGTATATATGTAATCATCCAAATATAATTCGTTTATTTGAAGATTATGAAACAGCCGATGAAATTTATCTTGTTATGGAATTAGTAAAAGGTGGTGATTTATTTGAATATATAACAAAACATCGTTGTTTTAATGAATCAACATCAGCATTAATGATTAAAGATGTTTCTGAAGCACTCTTATATTTACATGCAAAAAATATTGTTCATAGAGATGTTAAACCAGAAAATTTATTAGTTATGCAAAAACGAGATGGACGAGTTACTATTAAATTAACGGATTTTGGTTTAGCTTTACAACTTACAGGATCAGTTAAAACTGTTTGTGGAACACCAACGTAAGATTTTAATAAATAAGACTCATTCTTAATTATTTCGGATACTGCATAGAGAATGTAGATTTCTATTTTAACGAATGATCTCTTCTCGATCAACAATTAGTAGTCGAAAGATATTTTGCTGTATAAATTAAAATTCAATATTACTAGTATTAGTGATGGTACATATTGACCAGAGGTGTCCACAAGGTAGGGCACGGCGTGTTTCGAAATTTTGCCTTGTCCTTCAAAATGGCAGGGCACACCTTATTTTTCGGTTACAGGGCACAGAGCAGGGCAGAAGCACGCAGGACGTAGGGCAGAGCAGAAGTGCGCAGGGCAGAACAAAAAAGTGCCCTGTGGACACCACTGATATGAATCGATTAGCTCGATTTCAATATAAAACTACATTGTATGTATTTTATAGGTACGTTGCACCAGAAATTCTTGCGGAAACAGGTAAAATAATTTCATAGAAAAAAAAATATTTTGAAAAATAATCGATATTATACAATTAGGTTATGGTATTGAAGTTGATTGTTGGGCAACTGGTATTATTTTATATATTCTTCTTTGTGGTTACCCACCATTTAAAACTGCTGAACGTAATCAAGAAGAATTATTTCAGATGATTCAACGTGGTAAATTTTCGTATGATACGGAATATTGGAATACAATATCGTCATGTATGAATTTTAAGAAAAATGAATTAAATATTGATTGTAATTTTTTTAAATTCTAGCTGCTAAAAGTTTAATTGATCAATTATTAATTGTTGATCGACAAAAACGAATGCGTGCTGATGAAATTCTTCTTCATCCATGGATATTAACTGTTGGTCAATCGAAACCGATACGTAATACGGAAGAATTGAAAACTACATTACGTTTACAATATGATCTTAAAATGAAAGAATATGCTACAGAAACGATAGCCAATTAATTTCGAACTACAAATTAATTGACAATTTTATATGTCAGATTTTCTATTCTTCCGTTTACATATTTAAAAAAATATCCTTGGTTCGTTTTGTTTTTTTTTTTGTATGTGCATTATCTTCGATGAATTAATTCTATATGATAGATAAAATGCGTATTTATTTTTCTATAACCAAGAAAGAAAAAAGATTTCTTTCAAGAACAGTGAACTTTTTATGAATATAATTAATAAATTTATTTTGTTTGAACTATGATAAGTTAAAAAAAAGTCATACTATTCATTTCTTATGAATTGTTTTTACTTTGACAGATGTTTTGTATGCCACTCACATCTGCATTTATTCTTGCATAGAATGTGTTATAGTTAAAATTTTTCTACTCGAGTCTTTTCTGCCAGGTAAATATTCTTTGTAATAATGCCTGCTAGTCAAAAAAAACGAACAAATAGAAGAGTTGCTAGCTTTCAATAATCAGGTGACTTAAAACATTTTCATAATAATTTTAATCATTCTCTTTCTAATAGAAAAATGAAGTTTTTACTCGAGATCAAAACTTATTCGATTGTATACATTCGTTGTCAGGTGTTTTCTTTCAATAAGTGATCAAAGAACACTTAAGTCAATATTCGTTTATTCTGCAGATGAAAAATGTCTTTACGAATTGTTTTTTTTTTTATAAATATGTTAATGTTTCATGAATCCAGTCAAGATAAAAACTTATACGTGTGTAAACACCTGATGAAATTGATGCATCACATTGTCTATTTCCATAACTAACAATTCCTGCTGCAACAAAATATCCTTCATTATTGTTATTATCATCATGTACGACTATAAGTAATGGTGCTCCACTATCACCTGAACATGCATCAATTGAAAGATTATCATAACCAGCACATATTTGTCGATTTGTATCGGCTATCGATTGTTGACATTTGAGATTTTTATAATCAACAATAGGCATAACAACATGTTGAAGAACTGGAGAATTGCGACTATTTGGTTTCGCTAACACTTTTCCCCAACCACTAACAATTGCTTCAGTTTTTGCTTGAGGATATACATTCGATTTTATTGAAGGTAGACAACATGGATGGAGATCTTTTGAAAAAGATTTTTGTATTTTAATAAGAGCAATATCATTAAGATGCATACTATCATTCATTCGATATTCTGGATGAATTATCCATTGTTCTATATCATATCGATCACCTTGAAATTCTCGAAAATCATGAATTTTTGCTAATATTTGTAATTGATAAAAATTTCGATTATTTAAACAATGAGCAGCAGTAAGAATTGTATTTGATGATATAATAAATCCTGTACAAAATGGATTTGTTCGATCTCGATCAGTTAATGTAACCAGCCATGGATAAATATATGGTGATGCATCTTGTCCACCAACTATTTTTGGAATAAAAGATACAACACTATCACTATTTGGACAACCACATGGACGTTGATGACAGACAAAATTTGGATAAGATAAAAGAGATGATAAAGTAGTTCGATATCGAATAAAATAAATAACAAATAATGTTATAAAAGTACTGATTATCAATAAACTACATAGAATACTAAGACTGATAATCATACATCGACGTACAGAATTATTTCGAATTCTTTGTGTTGATTGTATTCGTTGCAATTGCATATTTATTTTTGTTATTGTTATTTTCGATATAACTTATGTTTTACTATGTAGTGTCACAACAAAATATCAATCTAACAGACAAACTAATCTTAACCTTATAGGAGATTAACAATCGATGAATCATTATTTTTCGTTCTTTGAAATGATCTTTATATCATAGATGTTATTGTTTTTATTAATAGAGTTAAGAAAAAAAAATATGAATAGAACTTATATTTAATTTTACGACACAACAATATCATTATCATCATCATCATTAGTTTTTTTATGTAGATGATATAAATTGTTTGTTTCCATTAATTAACGACTTTGAAGAAGTTGGAATTATATGACTAATATTTTTAAAATAATGTTCTATTCCAGGAAATTCCTTGTGTGGTGCATCATTACAACACTTATTATTCGCAGGTGGTTTTTCCGGTACGGGAGATGGTGTACGACTTGGTACTTTGTTATTCTCAACAACATCTGATGTTTTATCATCTGTTGTAGGAAGGACGACTAAAAAAGAAATAATATTGTTTTATTGAAAAAGAATTTAAATCAGTACTTGGTAGATTCGGTGGAGGTACTTCATTTGTTACAGTGATAAATTCAGTTTCTTGATTCTCAGAAGAACCTTGCGTAGGTACAGTAAATTCCATAAGATCAGATCGATACGTTTCTTTCCCATCTGAGAAACAGAAAAAGAAAAGTAAAAGAACATTTCACAAAAGAATCAATGAACATACTAAGTAATTTTGCTACTAATTGAAAAGTATGACTTTTACTACTTTCAAATCCTTTGATACAAATATGAAATTCATCTTCTATTTGCTTTTGACGTATCTAAAGAAATCCCAAATTTTCTTCTATTTATTTTTTCTAGAATTAATAAAAATATACATATTGAATATCTACATCATCTAAATACATAATATATTTTTGAGCAGTTTTATCTCCAAGATGAAACCATTTAACATTAAGATTTGCTTTAGGATTTTCTTCCTTATCCGGCCATGTAAAACTTATCGTTGGACTTAAAGCAAAAACGCCACCAGTAAAATGAAAATACTAAAAAAGAATAAGCATCTATCGAAGATCAATTTTATTTAAGAAAATAAAACATACACATTGTCTTGATAATTTTGTTTCTTGTGACCATTCTGTATTATGCGGTATGGCTTCGACGTAAGCTGATGGTTTTTTTATATTTGTATTGAAGCCTGATGCTGCTACAGCGTCATAATTGACATCAAATTCTATTCGAGTTGTTTTATTAACGACTAGCTTTTATAAAAAATGAATAAAACATTAAAATATTAGAATAATTTATAATTACTTACAATAAATTTTTTAATAAGTTTACGAGATGATTCAGGTATAATTTTAATCATTCCATAAATCTTATTATCTGGAAACTTAAAAGCTTCAAGACGAAAGTCAATTTCAAGATCGTGCCATAACTTTTCCTTTGTTTGAAATAATTTCTTATTTTATACAAACCATATTAACTTCAACTTACTTGATCATTTTGTTTTTT